CCACCATTCACTGGGGAATGCAGGCACATCCAGATTACCAGTCCCAAACAGGAACAGATGCGCATCCTGGATTCCATTGCTAGTTACCATCCACCAGTAGGTCAGTATATCCGAAAGAGTGTATCTTTCTAGAAAGTTCTTAACTAGAGATTGTGGGGTCTTAGTGTAAATGCTTTGAAATCCATGAAATTTTCTGACAAACAGGAAACAGTGTGATATAGTATGATAATACTGCTTGAAATCCTTTTTCATGAAGTGGCCTAAATCCAAATTGGAATTGGTCGCTTAGAAAATCCTAAGTATCTAGAACACTGTAAGGCGAATTCTACCTCTGTAATGCCAGTATATTAGGTTGGAATAATATATAAATGGGTAATAAATAACACGGAATACCTATTTAATATTTTCTTCTGTTTCTTTTGTTATTACTACACTTAAATCACACTAGTTGTAAGTCAACTTATACAGTGTGTTCTCTGTCTTGCCTTAGAGTTCAGTTTCAGCAGATTATCACTTTTTAATAAGGAGTTTATTCAGTTACATTCCATTAGCAAGAGTAAGGAATAATTAGGATTTATAACCTTTTCTGAAACAATACAGCCTTTATTATTTTTCTTTACGAAGTATTTACAAAATACTGCATTACATGCCAACTTTAGAACATATTCAAAAAAGAGAAACAGATTACTTACAAAGGTTATCAGTAGTATGACTTAAACATTTTTATTTTGAATGGCTTTAGTAATTTCCATTTCCAGCTACATGCAGCTTGTATTTAGAAATGAAACATATTTCCAGTGTCTGCTGGTTTTCAACAGTTCTCTAACTGATTTCCGTTCTTGATGAAATCCATCTTCATATAATCTCTTGATGAATGCGTCGAATTAATGGTCGTGAAAATTACTGTAAAAGAACATGTACTTTTCAAGAGTTGGTTTGTAAGGATTAGATTTGTTTTTACGAGTTTGACAACGAATTGATATCAGTTAGAGAACCATTGAAAACCAGGGCCATTGAATCGGGTCCCAGTGGCTGAATGGTGTACGACCTTGCCTTGTAACCGGAAGGCCCTGGGTTCGAACCCTCGTGGTGGGTGTGTACTACCGATGAATCCCAAACTAGTATGAAACAGCTGTCTGGCAGTACTCCCTGGTTTTCAGTGGTTCTCTAACTGATATAAATCCATGGTCAAACTCGTAAGAACATGTACTTCCTAAAAGTAGGTATGTGAAATCAAATAGAAATGTGTATGTGAAAAAAGTACAAATCAACTGTCTATATTTTGAAATAAATGAAAAGTTGTGGAATATGAAAACATGCTTAAAAGTGACGTTGCTTTACAGCTACTTGTAGATTTCACTCATAGACATGGAAATAAGGAACTTAAAAAATATGCGAAGTGAAAATGAAATATGGAGTATAGAATTTGTATAAATATGGTAGTAAAATAATCTGAGTATATATTAAAAAAGATGATAAGTTTTCATGTCTGCCTCTTGTTACAGATTATCTATTCACCACCTGGAAATTATTACAGTCAGATTGCAAGCTGAATGCATGTTACCCTTTGAGCCTGGATGAAATTCTTAAAATTTAAGATTGTCTGCTTTCCACATTTTTTATAGTTACAGGAGAATTCTACTATCAGATAACCTCGCCTTGTTTACTACTTCGAGAGTTTTCTAGACGGTCCCAAGCCTGGGATAAGAAGGAAGGTTGGGCGCGGAGCTAGCGACCCTACTCCGGAAAATCAGTCCAATCTGTACAGAAACTTCAAAGCACTACAAAAATATAAAAATCAAAATTATCCTTCACGGAATGATTTGGATTGGTGAAAGCCTTCAGGAAGCCAGTCATTAGTTCTGTCTTATTTCGATGAAAGCGAAAATAAGGACAGGAACGTCAAATGTTCGAAGCCAGGAGGCTTGCTTAGGTTGCAGAAGAAATGAGATATGTTTTAGAAGTGCGAGGAATTCGTGGGTGGAGGTGAAATGGAGGTGGAAGTCCCGAATTGTTAACTAGGGAGTCAATAATCTACCCTAGTCACCCAGATGACAAACACAAGCACATTGAAGGAGTGGTTACTATGATGTCACCAATAGCAGCCGAAACTCTTATGCAGTGGGAACTAATCTCACCCAGAATAATAACGCCAAGATTCAACTCAAAAGGAAGGCAGGTTACAATTATTCAGTGCTATGCGTCTACAAAAAACGCAGAACAAGGGGGAAGGAAGATTTCTACGGACAACTGCAAACAGTAATGAATGAGAACCCAAATGGTGATATCAAAATCCTAATGGGAGGAACCATCCTCTTGTCCACACCAAGACAAATACTAAGTCACATCATCCTGGGGAGAAGAAAATATGCAATGGATGCAGAACTACCACCAGAACAAGCCGGATTCAAGAAAGGCAAATCATGTGAGGATCAAATTGAAACTCTACTCATCGTCATCGAACAGAACATAGGATGATAGTCAAATCTCTGCCTCAACTTCGTAGGTTTTGAAAAGGCCTTCGACAGCTTTGGCCGCGAAGTAATTCGGAAAATACTTCAACACTGTGGAGTGCAGTGTGACAAACCTTTATCAGTTTCATTCAACAGCTATGTGATGGTGATGTCACATGTCAAATGGTTCATAAAGAATAACTCAGTGGAGTGTTTGAGGTAAAGACAGTGGTAGGACAAGACTGCCTACTGCCATCGACGATACTTCTGATTGTGGTGGACTTTATCGTGCAGGAGACTATGAGGTGTCAGAAGACAGGCATACATTGGGCCAACAAGAATACTATCGAAGATTTGGACTTTATGGACGACTTATGTCTAGTGTCACATAGATTCGGAGACTTGCAGAGAAAAACCAACAGGTTGGCAGAACAGACCGGCAGCGGATACAGGACATCAAGTGAATATAAAGAAGATAGAGGTGAGGAAGATACCTAACCAACAAGAACAACAAGTACCAATCACCATCAACCAGAGAAATTTGAAAGACGTCATTTCCTTCACTTATCTAGGAAACATCATTTCAACTACTGGCAGTTGGGACAGATGAAGACGTCAAAGCCAGCCAGAATCGGAAAGGCAAAACAGACATCCATCACTCTGAAAGTCAGTGTGGATATCTTCTGCACTCCACAGCATAAAAATCAAAATTCAAATTTTCAACACAAATGTTGAGTTAGACTGCACAGAACAAGATGAATGGAGATGTATTGTTGGAGTCTTATTTTCCACTCGGGACCCAGGAGAATAATAATAATTTATCTTATATGTTTCATTAAGAGGTATTTAGAAAGTTAAGTTAAGGATGGATACATCCATCTCAGTAAGAAGCAGGTTAATACAATAGTAATTCTTTTTTCTCAGATAACGTTCAGCACTTAACACTTATTATTATTATTATTATTATTATTATTGTATCCTTTAATTCCTACAGGAACATAGGGCTTCAGCCGTGCGTCTCCATTGCCTTCTGTTCTCTGCTAGAGTCTTCACCTGGCTCCAAATCTGCCCACACGTTTTCATCTCCTCTTCACATGACCTCCTCCAAGTCACCCTTGGACGACCAACTCGCCTCTTCCCTTTCGGGTTCCACTCAAGGGCTTGTCTAGTGATGTCACTTGATGGTTTACTAAGAGTATGGCCAATCCATCTCCATTTCTTCCTGCTTATTTGTTTCACAATCGGTTCCTGGTTGGTTCGCTCATTGCCAGAGATCTCTGTTGCTGATCTTTTCTGGCTGGCCATCTGATCTTGAGTACTGAGCGAAGACAACTGTTAATGAAGGTCTGTAGGAAAAAGCTGGCGATATTACGAGGCAGCACGCAAAAATGCAAAAAATCGCAAAGTATTGATACGTCATTGCATAAACAAATGTTTCGGAGGGTGTAATTTAATAAAGAGTGGTTAAGATGATAAGGATTTCGGAGATAACGAGGGTAGTGAATACATCTGCACTACTGTGACCAATTTTTACCCATGTCACTAACCTCTGAATCTTAGCTCTTCAAAGATCCTATCCAGATAATTTACATCACTTTGTATGGTTCACACTAAGAGTCGGTGAATTCATGGTCTATTCTTTCTGTCAGTGACAATGTTTCAAATGTTTAGCTATTGCACTGCAGTCAAATTTGAAGTAGATGTCAAACATTATGACTCAGTTTGACAAATGTTAAATGAGCCTTTCGCATTCATTTTTTGGTCTCCAAGGTAATCAGACAACTATTCGGTCTTAAACACGTGAAATGGTTGATGTATTATTAGTCAACTCTTATACCAAACACATTCAGACTGTTGCTTCTGTCAGCACTTTTGTCTAAGTCCGATGTCTCATTTCTTCGTAAGCAATGGATCATAAAAGTTAGCAATTAGAAATCCTTAGTGGGATATTTAGTAAGCACCGGATACTCTTATATACTAATCCTTTCAAAAAGTATAACTGTAATCTATTTAAAAGTAGTATAATACAAAAAAAAGTAAATTGAAACTTACGATTATATGACTGTGTTTTATTGACGTGGACATCGAAATTCTTTTTTAACTGCTAAGTACAAACAAAATGAAACTTTTAGACTACGGAATCAAAATGATGTAAGTCAAATTTTATTGCAGGTGTGTTTATTTTTCTAACTTTTCATTGGCTGTCATATAGTTCTGTAAGACGAGGACACTATAAAACGGATCGATTATAGATATTAATAGTATAATTAAATAAACCAGTATAATACACAAGTCTCATAAGTAATCAAGTCTTTTTTTAAGTTATATAGTACTGCACTAAAAGTATGTAAGTGTATAGAGAGACACTTTTATTAACACTGATTCTTTTTAGATAAACTACCAAGAGGATAATTAGACACAACAGAAAGGAAGAAAGTGACATGTAAGATATGGAAGATTTCCTCTTTTCTAACCGTAGTTATACTAGACAAACAAGTCTATCAAGCTTCAATCATCAAAGGAGAATAAGACGATCAACTTCCTTTTATGACTTCAACAAATTTATCTCCAGCTGCGCCTACATCAGAAAAAACACAGTTCACAGATTTACATATTTATGTGATACCACCAAATTTATGGAATAATGATTTAAATACGACATTTTCTCAATTGGTTAAAAACACAGTATCAGCTGGAATAATACGATCCAGTGCCGATGTGAATTTATTTGAATTTCGTGGAATTATTGAACAAGAGTTAGGGAAACAATTTTTACCAAGTGACTACGTATTTTGTAAACAAGTTGGGCATTCAATTGGTCGAGTAATGTCAAAATTCGCATATCATCCTAATATGTTCAATGTCTTTTTTAGATTCAGTCGAATCAGGAGAAGTTGTTTAGAATCGACGAATTCCTTCCACCTAAAGTAAGCAAGAATAATTTTTGTTCATGTACGCTTTATTTTATCAAAAGTTTATATTCTTGAGAATAAAACTTGCTGACAGATTTTGCTAACCAGCACTGTGAATTTATCTCAATGTATCACGATGATCGAGTATTAATCTGAATCGCTCTATGTTAATGTCTCTGATTTTAAAAATAGGTTTCGAAATTTTTGAACATCAGGAAAAGCGTATACTACCTCAAAAAGTGCCGATGATCCTTACTCATGGGTGCCACAGGCTCGAAACTCTTTTCAGAGAAGGCTATTACTGACCCTGAACTAATATATATATATATACTACTGGGAAGGTTACATTAGCGTATACATCTCGATTCACTTAGTTTAGCGATCACATAGTACAGTTGATCGACGAACTGTTGCCATCAAATAGCAAATAATGATTGCCATATATTCAACACTGTCGTTAAAAATGATGATTAACAGTTATTCATGGAGGATGGCTGTTTGATGAAAAACTCTTTAAATGACACTGGTTATAAGACGTACATCAAAATTATGGTTCTACAGAATATTTTAAATCATCCTCAAGATGTCAGTAATCAGTAGTAACGATCACTCTACGACATAGTCCAAAACTTATCACAGCGGAGATGTATTCACTATTTACTGTCTTTGAAACATGATCTTATTACCATTAGGTCAGATCAATTTTTGTTCAGTAGGAAGTTATAATACTCTATGAAACATTATTATATAAGTTATGGAAATAAGTGTTTTATTACGGTTGGTTTAGTATTTCATAGTACATCATTTCTCATAGCTGGTTCACATCATTTTAGTGATTAGCCTTTTACAACATGTAGCTATACTTGTCATTTCAAATCATCACAGAGATTGATTTATTTACTGATTATCAGGGAGTAACCAGTGTCATATGTGTTGTCCTTACTATCGACTGAAATCTATCAGTCAAGTTTTTTTCGCATGCTCACTAAGGTGCTGTCAACCTCATTTCACCAACTGACGTCAGATTAAATCAAGGTTAACCTTGGAAGTTTGTTCCATTAATTCGGTAGTCAGAATTTGAATTTTTCCAACTGATTCGGTCATCTCAGTTTACCTGGTAACATTGCCGACGAATTCGGTTCCAAATGGACAAAACGACTGTCGGATGTTTACACCACTTAGATCTGGCTAGCCAGTATTATAGTTCAATGAAAGTGGTTCCTGACTCATCATTAGTATTTGCTATATTGCTATTTTGATTATTTCATTGACCAGCATTTGTTGTACCACCAAATAGATCATAATTAGCTTTCTGAATGTTCCTGATTTCCAAAGCAAACCGTGGTGAATTTTCACCTCACACTGTGTAATTTTTAAATGACCAACCTAATCATATGAATCCCATGGGTCATTAGTGTATGCTAATGAGGAATCTCAAACTGAAACTAAACAGCTACCTAATACTTCCCGTTTTTCAGTGGTTCTCTAACTGATGGTGGTTTAAGAACTCAAATAAAATATTATTAGTGAAACAAGATAGCAGATTTTTAGATCCTGAAATTACCATTTGTACATTAAAAAGATATACTAGATTAAGAGAAGAAGGGTATCTCATTTCAGTTAGTTTCTCATCAACAGATCTACACTTAATATGCGTGCACTATTTGAAATGGTACAACAATCATATCAGCCTGGTAGTGATATGTTGGTTAATAAGAAGTTATCGACTTCATAGTATGGAAAGAGTGGAAAGTAATCAACAATGCCAGTGAATTAACTGACATATATGACAATCAATACAAGAGCAACGGATGATCACGTAATCGATGACCTGTAAAATAATGAAAAGTAAAAAGAGTGAATGAATCAGTTTATTAAGTTGCCATTTTTTAGTTACAATGTCTGAATAATTGCAAAGGAAAAAGTTGAGTAGTCACATTGATAATAACAATAATAAAAATCAGTAGTAATGTGGATAGCGGAGGTAGTATATGCTGAAATATATTATTTCGAAGGACAAGGTAAATAAAGGGACTTCAGGAATTTCCTCGCTTATTAAGAAGAATACGATTGCTTCTGTTGTAGGCTAAAGCTGAACCCATAAAAGATGACTTTGAAAATTCGGTTAATCTGAACTTGGACAAGGTGGGCAGGTATGCAGCTTCATATAGCCTGTGTTTCACTTGACTATTACAGATCGTATTGGTCAATGCCACGATGGCTTATATAACTAGTTCTACAAAAGTAGTTAAAATAGTAGATACGCTTAGATGAGATGAAATCAGGAAGTCTGTCTCAGTTCCACAGACTAAGTACCAACTGACGGACGACTAAGCAATATATTTTAATTCCCTTTTAATCCTTCGGTATGAATCTCAGAATTTACTGATTTTTTCAAGCCTGTAGATAATCTGGTTTTGGTGTTTTCTGAAATCAAATCCTTTTACAGGGATTTTTATGGATATTTTTAACTCTCTCTCTCAAGAGCACTGTTTGAGCAAACAACCCATGTTTACTGGACCAAGCATTTTATCAAACTCAAGTCTCATTAGAGGAGAACTAAATTCTGTGAGTGCTATAACCAATTGAAGTGAATTTTCGATAGATTCTCGGAAAAAACACGATTCAAGTCGATGATTTAGTTCCCCCCCTTCCAAATCAGTTTCATTTTAACAGTAATTTCTGGATATGAGTCTGAGGGAGTTATTAAAAGTTCAGACTAAGTTGTTTCTCATCGCCACACTTTAGCCTGTATTTCCTCACTTGATAATGTTGTCATTATTAATAAAATATCGCTCATGAGGTTATTGAAATGAAGTAACAGGTTACCGAACAGTTTAAGACTGAAACAGCAGTTTTCCTCCTATATTGGTAAATATAATTATATAAATCACTCGGTTAGCCAAAAATCTTCTCAATATAAGCTGACTGTTTATTCCTTCTAATCAATTTGTTTGCGAGTTGAAACTTTAATTCAAATGAAAATGCTTTCTTTATGTCTTAGAATACCGCTATTCATGCTTATTCTGCTTATCCTTTACTACCATTCATATTATCGAGGGTAATTGGTGTCATAAGTACCTATGAGTTTATGTAGTTAACTGTGTGCAGTACTTTAAAATTATAGAGAATATTCCCTTAGACTAGGATCTTATTCATGTTCTTAGCTGTTATTCATCTATTAAGGAAAATGAGAATGTTATCAGGACGAAACTAGTTTTCTGCTGATTTACTGTAAGTATATTGGTTCTATAAGTGCCCAACTTTAAAGGGTAACCTTTTCGAAGAACTAACTTTCCATTGAAAATGATAAACTGTATGAAAATTACTGACAGGTTACAATGTCTATGGAGACATTTATTATATTGTTATCAGGAAGTCTAAATCTGATAATAACTCTCAGACAATCCTAACTTCTGGTTCTTAACATGAAAGCTTGAAGTGTGTACTATAGTCATTTTGACTGTGGGTTTTTTTACCATCATAGCAACCCACTGTTTTAATAATGTGACTGTATGCCAAAATGACACCGGTAAAGTGTTGACAGAAATATTTCAATCAAAGTATAGTGACACTTTTCATTCAGAATGTGAGCGATGTGTTTACCAGTTATTTTCTTTTAATCGACCTAATCCACCTTTCTCCACGGTTAGGACGCTCGCCGACCATGCACATGGTCCGGGGTTCGATCCCCGGCCATCGCACTCCTTTACCTCGCTAAACCAGTAATAGAACTGGCAAAGAGGGAAGGTTGGGCATGAGGCTAGCAACCCCATCCCGTAAAAGTGAACACCACTGCTACAAAATATGTTCCATGGAACGTAAAATAAAAATAAAAATCCCTTCTTTTCATGAATTATTTCGAATGCCTGGTACTAGGTAGGAGTAATTAATCGAAGAAAGTGATTGTGTTACAATATTAAAGCCATAGCTTATACATAGTTCGTATTTTTCTGGTTTACTGATTCAGGCCAGATATGTTCTCAACTTTGGATATATTCTAATGATGTAAGCAAGATACTACTTAGTGGCATATATTAGTGAACACCAGAGTTACGTAAATACATTTACCTCTGAATAGCACTTCTGGTAAGTGTACTCCAATTCTTTATCTACAACATTAGTGCTTATTTGTCGACAATTAAAAAAAATTTTTTTCTTTAGTTTAATAGGAGGGAAGGTGATTTTTATTTACATATATATGTTAATTAAAAATAAATCAGGTCATCCTTAGTTTTCATTTCTATTTCGGGTAAACGTTCACTTCACTCAGTTGTGAGTTCAAATGATTTTCAATATCACATACTGTGAGAAACTATTTTGTTTTGATATAGAAGTATGCAATTCACGACGGGTGGGCAACACCACCGTCACTTTTTGACAACTTTAAAAAAATCTTTGTTTCAAAATAAATTTTTAATTATTTTTCTATTTTTCGCTATCAAATAGTCTGAACTACCTGAGATTTATGTAATAGATCGCCAAGCTATAGATGAAAACCAACCATTTTATAACGATGCTTCACAACTCCCTCAATCACAACAAAAGAATCCACAAAATCAAGTAACTATTCTGCCGGTCACTCCATCTGGCGAAACAAGACCATCATCAGTGACTTTTAAAACAGATGACTCTCAAAAGGGTGGGTTTCATTCTCATTTTATATCCATCGAACAATTTCAGAGTTCATAACTGTTATGCTTATGATTTAACTGTGAATAATATCCGTTACTAAAATGCAGTCACTAAAAATATCATTTGTAGGTAAATGACTGCATCTTCACATTTTGAAAATGGTAAACACAGTGCTGGTTAGATGTTTGGTTATACTAATTTCACTAAATATATAAGAAGTGACAAGCTATTCAAATGTAGATCGGAACAGTTAATAGTTGTGTACATTAACATCAGACAACAACAAAAAACAACCGGATCGCACAATTCAGACAAATCCCATGACTACTAAAAAACGTAGCAATTGCTGAATTATTTCGTGGAGATATAAAATCTTTCCACATGTCCTCAAAATGATGTAATCTGAGGTAATAAGGGTTACACCACACAAGTTATATAGTTATTCACGAGTTTATATATTTTATGATTTTTTTCCTCTCTGTTCCTTCATTGTAGAGTAGTTCGGTATCCAAAATCAGTGTTCACTAAGAATACTGAGTCTAAAAGTTAAGTTAGTTCTTATGTTAAACAATTCGAGACTGAACTTGACTGCAATTAACAAATAAATGATCAGTGAAGAATTCCATGAAGTTTGAGATCTGGTTTAAGAATTGTACAACTCGTTTGGGATACTCTGCAGTGGCCACAATTTCTAGATTGCAATATGAAATATACCTGCTACTACTACTAATAATAATAACAAAATCTTGTGTGATTGGAGACCGCTTATACCACTCAGTAACACCTATTTGTTTAAATAAAGTAATTCAGAAAGTGAAGGTCCAGTCATCTCTTTTGTGATGGATTTCAAAAATATCACCCTCAGATCTAGTCTCAAGGAGAGGAAGGGACTTTAAACTGACTTAATTCTACTTACTTCCTCTATCAGGCACCAGATATCTATGGGTTCTTTAAGCATTTAACCCGGAAGAATATGCCTCATAGTTCAGTAAATTCTTGCGAAGATGAATCGTTTCCTGAAGTTATCGAATACGTAAACTCTTTTCACCTAGACCATATTGTTTACATAATTTGAAATTACCTGCATTTTGTAGTAATGAATTTACAGCACTGAGGAATTATTGAGACTATGACTACCTTCAGATTAGGAGTTATAATCATATGAATGGTACCAGATTAATATTTAGAAACATATTTCTACCTTCTTCCTCGTTAATGTGAAGTCATTTACAAATCATTTACCTTCACACTTCCAAACAATCACTTGTTGAGTTCAAAGGACGTAACAAACTGAAAGTCAATTACTGTAATCCTGGATTCAGGAGATCCATTATACGCTAAGTGTGATACAGTGTAGTTTATCCCATTTGTTTTGACGAAAAACAAAATAGCGTTTAACATCTAGCTCCCCACAAGGTATATTGCATCAAATAAAGGGTGGGTTAAAAGCATTTACCCAAGATGACAATTTCTTATTATGAATATTGTCATACTACTCACAGTAGTTAACTTCATATTAGTAAATTTTTCAGTATTCACAACGAGGATTAGAAACAGAACTCGTGTATTTTAAGATGAAAGTATTATCTCCTAATATTTTTTTTTTTTTAAATTCTATCTTTCTACAAACAAACTAAAGATATACCTAAATATCAACCAAATCCTCCTTCGACATTGAACCAAACACCACAAAGGCAGATGATGTCACCAGTGAGTGAATCGAATACATCGACAAGTGTTCAGCAGCATTCTCAGCTACAACAGAACTGGCAACAACAACAACAACACCAAAATATCAGTAGACCAAGGTAAGACTTGAGAACTCTCCATTTTGCCTAAGAAGTTTTGTCCACTTTTCGCAACAACGCACAGATGTGACATACAGAACGCTAGACTAAAATCACTTAATCAGAAGAACTCTGAATACAAGTAAAACTACTCCAAAAAATATTCTTCTCCTTACTCCCCATTGTATAAATTGTAGGAGTAAATACAAAGTGCAAACAACAGTTAAAAATCTTGAGTGGTGATGTGGTAGCGTATAATGATTACAGGACCATTTAGGCTTCAGAATTCCTCACAGCTGAAGATGCAGCTAGCTGAATTTAACACGACTTCCTCAATATATGTGTAAAACTGGGGCACTATGATACTATGTAATTCCATATTAAATTAGATTTACACACTGGAACACTATTATTTACTGGGTGATGTTTCGAACATAGTTTATTGTTTGCAACTAGTTGTGTTCTCTGAGCTGTTTGGTTTAATTGCAGACCTCAGAGAACACAACTAACTGTAAATCATCGACCTGAGCTACAAATCTCCTCTGTTATGGTTTGTTGTTCACAATCATATCAGTTGTGATAATGAGTGATATTGTGATATAAATGAATTAATATGGATTAGTATCGTCAGCTGTCACACACTGAGTGTGAAGTGAGTCATCCAGCTTATCAGAGTTTCTTTCAAAACAAAATGAACCTTATAATTTTCCGGAGATTGATGAGTCTTAGCATAATATAAGAAGTATAGCCCTGGACCAATATATGTGTACGCTGACTTTCTACATCTTTTAGGCAGGATCACACAAGAACAAGAAGAATTGTAGTAGTGGTAGCGTCGTATTATCACAATATTATCGAAATTAAGACACAGTCAAACAGATAGTAGTAGTATATTAAAAGTATTGTGTGATAACACACAATGCAGTTATTTTTTTATATATTCATCAAGCATACTGAAACATACAGCATTAACAAAAGTACAATTAGACATTGTCAGGTAAATAGGAACAACCAGTAGAGGTAGAATAATAAATGAGTCCATCACGTACACCTGTATGCTGGGTTAGAAGCCAAATTAACAAGCTCAAATGACCCATTGTTTGATGAAGACTGATATATGAATGCAAGAACATTTACAAATCAGCAAAATCTGCAAATCACAATATTTTATAGTGAGGTAATTTCAGATCTGAAGTACTGGCATCTTTTCAGAAAGATTACTGATTAAGTCTGATACTCACTAAATCTATCTGATTAAGTGATCAATGAAATGTGATAAATCATCGGTTTATTTAATATCTTTATTCAATCACTGAAATGATATTATTGTTGAAATAAAAAAGGCAAGACTTTTGACATTCATAGAACGAGTATGGAACCCCGAAAAGCACTATTTATTGTTATAATTATTCCCTTAGCTCCCAAGTGGAACACAGGGCTTTAACAGCCCATTACCATTTCATCCTCTTCTGTGCAGTCATATTTAGCTGGTTCAACGACTCTCCATAAACTCTCATCTCCACCATATCATACTCGGACATCCAACTCACTGTCTCCCATTTGGATTTCAGAATTTTGCACCCAGAGCATCTTTTTCGGGTTCAGGTTTTGAAAAGAAAAATTTTCACAGACATTTTCTAATATTTTGGGTAATTCATAACCATTTCATTCATTTTCAGCTTGATATAGTGTCCCAGATAATTCGGCAATTGAAAGATGCGTTATTCGTCTGTTAAAATGAAGACTTGTTGGTAAACTAAATATTCTATTCTATGAAACTTGTAATTCTGTCAATTAAAAAATATCACAAAATTCAGTTAATGGTGTCTAATTAGTAATTATACTTTAAATTTCTCGTTAACATAGTTCTCACTATGAGCAAAGATCTTCTGTGACTCCGACTGTTAGTTTACCAGTCATTTCATCACCAATTATGTCGACAAATGATCCATCTAATGTGAAAACTTCACAGGAATTAATTCCAGTACCCAATGAAATTAATATAGTCCAGTCAACACCTATTTTGCATACTGGCGATGCTGGTTTAGACACAATTTCAGCAGCAATCGGTCATCAAAAAGATATTTTACAACGGTTAGAATATGAGCAGCAAAAGCGTATCTTACAAATGCAAGCTGAAGCTGAAGAACGTCGTCGTCGTGAAGCTGAACAGTATGCACGAGAATTGGCTAAAAATGCTGACCATTCAAAGTAAGTTCTTTTTGTGACTACTGTAGTTACAGTCCTTTAGACCGTTCACTAAGCTTAGAACATAATACTCATGAATAAGAGACGTAAATTACTTTTTTGACATATAGTCAGACACAAAATCTTTCTTTCAAAATAGAAACAGTAAATCACTGACACTTAGTATAAACGAGATCCAATAGAACAGATTAAGTGGTAGCATAAGTAATTACTTATAGCCTTGCTAAACGAGATGTAAACTGTGTCACATTGGATAACCACTGAATTTCGGTAAACTTGTAGTCAGTGTAATTTTATTGTTTCTACTGCGTAAGAATCGAAAACAAACGCGTTGACTGAAAATAGGCTAAAAATTTTAATAATATAAATACTGTTATCACTAATTACATATGACGGAATTATCAATTTCAACAGAGGAGCAAACAGAAATATGTTCTTTGGTTAGAGGATTTCATCATGAGCTGACTTCTGTTAGAGAACCATTGGAAAACCTGGCAGTCCTGGACAGCTGTAGGTAGTTACCTGGGGATCTAGTGGGAAGTCATGACCAGTAGAGTACAGCAGGTCGGGTGTGAGGACAAATACTCGCCGAAGACACTGGCTAGTAGTCGCGCTATATCGTGAATCGGCAGAAGTTGGAATTCATGGGCCACTGGATCGGGTCCCAGTGGCTTAATGGTCAGCGAGATCGCCTTGTAACCAGAAGGTCCTGGATTTGAACCCCGTGGTGTGGGTGCGTAATGATGAAGAGTCCCAAACTAGGACGAAACAACTGTCTACCAGTACTCCCAGGTTTTCCAATGGTTTTGTAACTAATGTCAGCTCATGATAAAATCCTGTAACCAGTCAGTCAAATCCCTACAAACCAATACTTGAATAGAAATATGTTCTACAGAACAAGACAGTGATTTATGAGACTATAAAGAAATTCAAGAGATTTATGTTTTAACACATACATTATTAATAAAGGTATCAAACAAGGGTGAGAAAATCAAGAGTGTGTATTGCAAAATAGAATTATTGGTTAAACACTACAAAGAACCAACCATTTCATTGTACATAAGTGTCATTACTTATTGCATGAGAGATATCTATATTATGGGTTTGTCTTACACATTCCATTGATAAACTGGATAACAGATATACTCATCATTATTCACTTTCCTGTTTTGGTTGTCATTAAAAAATCTTGCACAGTAGCTGTCTTTTAAATTAATCATAACTTCTGTTGTTAACATAATGCATGTCTCTTTCACATGACTAGAATGTTTTCAGCTCATTACCAATTCCTATTATGGGATATTTAACGAACTATTAGTAAGGCTTAATGCTCAAGTTTAGGTATGATAAATGCATCTGGTTACATCTGCAATCAAAATTCGGAAAATAAATAAGTAAATCGTCAGCTACCAAGTTTTCACAGAATTTAATTATTTTGTTTTTATACATGTAAATAGACGTATGGAAGAATTGGAGAAAGAATTACGAAGATGGAGTGATGAAGCCAGACAAACAAGAGAACGTCTAGATCAATTACGAGAAGCTTGGGAAACTTCACTTAAATCAAAACAGGAAGAAATTACTACTTTGAAACAAGGTCTGGAAATGATGAAAAAGAGCAGAGATGCATTAGATGGCAAACCTACAGCCCGAGAAATAGCTGCACAAACAGAAATACATCAACTTCAAATCCAACTGACAGAAATGAAACAGAAGTATAGCCAAGTAAGGGAAGAATTAGAAGAAAGACGAAAGGCAGCTGATGCCAGATTGGATGCAGTGGGAGGTGAAATAAAAGATTTAAGACGTAAGATGTCCGATATGCATGCGACAATGCGGGAGCCTAAACCTGTAAAGATCACAGTCAATTCACAGTCTAAATCCACGTGTGATGTTGGAACAGAAGCATCAGAGTAAGTATATTCAAGATTTGTGTGTCTGTGTTCACTGTAGTGAATTAATTCAAACACATTTCCGTAGCAAGTAAACTGTTTGTCTGAGGCAGAGAAATATGGAAATGTGAACTTCCGTGACTGTAACAGAAGTGGTGAATATTTACAAGCTCCCAGTAAATGTGATAACTCTGTGCTCTGTCTGTCAAGTGCTGAAATCCAGTGTTTCTTAAGAGTCTTATACTACAATATAAAAGACACCAAGTGCTTCTTGATTCTCATTGATAAACTATCTGACGATTATTATTAATAATGACCCCTTTCTAAGACACATTTCCGTTACTCCAGAAAATACATCCATAACTAAAGTATTTTATGTGAATTATTCTCATTTCCAGAATCTCTAATACCCCCCAAAAGTTAAAAAAATTTCCTTTTTAATATTTTTATGGAACAGATTTATAGGAGAATCTGTAACTACTGGTCTAAATTTATTAATTGTTGCGAAATACAGATTCCAGGTGATGTACTGATTTTTTTCTGAACGTTATATCAACTATTAAGGATTCACTGCATAGTATGTACAGATTACTTTTACATTTCATTAATATTTGACTGTGACTTCATCTGTCGTGGACGTACATTAAAACTACCTCCTGATAAATAATTATCTTCATGAAGTTAACATTAGATTTTATGTCAGATCTCCAGAATTCCTTGACATCACAGTAGGCTACTAAAACTTTAACAATATACACAGCTTTTTTCACATGTTTCATCTAATGTTTTCTTTTTATCGTAATGGGCATTAATATTCATTTGAAAAGTGTTTACCTTGTAAAATCGTATACACGGTACAGTGATGAGCACTTCCAATGAACAGCAGTTTAGAGGTTTATTCATGTTATTCACACAGTACCTTAAGATTTGTTGAACTCAAAATTTTGTATCATGCTCAGCAATAGGTTTTATAACTGTTTTTGGCCTACAATATATGAGATGTTCTCGTCATGAATCACTATTCTTTTCTCTTCAAATACATTTACTTATTAAGTCTAGAATTACATGAAGTTGACCATTTATATTATGGTAAATTTCCGTTTAAATTTCAAATTTGTTATGCTCTAGACTTGTAGTTAAATTAAGCTAAATTTTTCTTTGTACGTCTACTTCGAAGTTTATCAGAAGCGCGTGAATTGAACAAATAAGTGGCATTATCACAACCTTTAACACTAAGCTTTGTATTCAACCATCCTTTTTACGTTGATCGAAGGGAAATCGACTGACGGAAATACATGACCGAGCAATAAACCCACACTATTTCTCGTATAATCTATTGACATAACTTTGGAATTTTTGTCTACAAATCATGCTATGTTAAAATGTTTATCACATGTCGCCAAAGACAAAAACTGAATTCAAAAATTTAGCGGTCACTTCAGCATGATTATGAGCAATAAATTATGTTTGAAATATCGTCCAGTGAACAATACTACATCATTGCAAACGACATCAAATGAACAAATTGACGTGGAATTATGCTGTATCACAAAGTCCAGGTTTTACTCTTATATCAAGAAGCAGGGAGTTTTCAGAACATCTTTATTTAGCCCTGACGCAAAACCACCTTGTTAGGGATTCTTTTTTGTAGTTAAGTAGTAACAAACTACAGCTCTCACACTGCCGCTTTATAGTTGAAAAAAAACAATGCTGTACCGGTAGGCAACGGTTGTCAGAGGTTGTTGGTGGTTGAGTATGTACATCACATCTGTCTTCTTTATGTTCAACCTTTGTTTCCTTTTCTGACAACTTCTTGGTTTTCGCTTGTAAATCATCGAGTTTTTGAGATATGAGACAGATCACCCGTGAAATCCAGAACTTCTAGAGTCATTTTTGTCAGTATTAGGTATGCCCATCTTCTCACTCCCCACTGCCTGGCTTATGCTCCAGTTTACCACAACGAGGGAGGTCATCGGTCATAATAGGCAGTCTTGTCCTATTCCTGTCTTCACTTCAAATGCTTCACTGAGCCTCCAATTGCAAATCACTTGGCCTGCGACATCATCGGATCGCTGCTGAATTAGGTTCTTAAATGTTTATAGTAATGCACTCCATAGTGTTGAAGCAGTTTCCAAATTACTTCACGGTTTACGCTGCCGAAAACCTTCCCAAAGTTGATGAAGCTGAGGTAGAGATTTGAGTGCCATTCTAGGCTTTGTCCGATGATGATGCATAGTGTTGCCATTTGGATCTCACGTGACTTGCTTTTGCAGAATTTATCCTAAGTATTCTATTCAGGGACTCTTTCAGGCTCTCCAGTATGATGTGGTCTAATATTTTGCTTAGGGTGGATAGGAACATGATTCCATTCCAGTACTTTCACAGGCCTAAGCCGCCATTTTTTGGTAACATGACAGAGTAGTATTTCTTCCAATCTACTGATACATATCTTCCTCTTCTCCCACGCTTTCTGCAATAGTAGCGTGAACGTCTCCATTGGGGTCTCCAGGGCTGTTTTTAGTGCTTCACCTCTGTGGGAATTCCATATGGTTGTGCTACTTGCCCGACTGGTTTTCAGTAACTCCGTTGACCTCAAAGCTTCTGTTTTTTGTCGGAGGTTCGGTGTTCACTGGTGGTTCTGTTTCTGATTATGGAGACGTTATTTCTGAACGTATGGTAGGTGGTGGTCGATTCAAGAATCCTCTGAAGTGACCAATCCAGCGTTTCCTCTCTTCCGCCACCTTGGTAATTGACTTTCCTTCAGTGGCTTCATCTGCTTTTACCTCTCGCTGGCTTAATTATGCGCTTAATGAATTATGGAAACAAACTAACAGTCAGACCATAAGTACATTTCACTGATCAATTATCGTTCACTTTTATTGATTGTGTGGATTCATTTAGCTATTTGCAGTTTGTAAGTGCATCTATCTTGCCATTTTCTAAATCCAGTGTGATCAAATAGAAACTATGAATGCTAGAGAATTAGTTAACTAGTGATCATGCTGTTCAAAGTAGAATTAGTATGCGAACTTTGTTCTAGTACTTTTGTTGTTATCATTTTTCAACCACATCACTCCACCAACCGTTGATCTCTTCCCGAGTAGTGCCAACATCATTTCATATAGTGTTGTTAGGTCTATCTTACCTGAAGCTTGTGCTGCTTCAGTTTCCAGTGTGTCATAAAACCATCTTTTATCTTTCCTAACACTCGTCTACAGTGCTCTTCAGATTACACTCAGCTTACCCTTTGTTGTCCATCTCTGCACTGGTTCATTTTCTGCTTCACCATCCTCCTCTTATTTTTTAGTCTCCAGGTGTCCATAGTGAGCTATCTCTTTTCCTGTCTCTTCTCATTGCCTAGGCTTCCATCTACGTCGCTTTAAGAAACTTCCAGTGTCTCCTAACTCATGTTTCTTTGTGATGAGGTGTTACTTAATGTATCAAACTTTTTCCTAATGACTGCAGTGAAGGCGTCATTTGGAACTTTGCCCATCAGTCTCTGAAGACTTCAAAATTCATCTTGAAGGTTTCTTAAACTAGATAATAGTCTGACCTCTATCCACTCCTCTTCTCCATCTTGTATTCAGTGAGTTGTCTCAATTTTTCCGACACGGAGATAAGGTCATCTGATCTTTTGTGCATCCATCTGAGGAAGCCCGAGCCGCCTTGTGTGTACACTTGTGCCGACACACTCTATCTCTAATCACTAAATCATTATAAAGGAGCAGAACTGTGGATATTTCTCCGTTCTCATTCATTTCACCGATTGCCTATCGACCCGTGATGAGTTCTCTTCCCGTTTCGTCTTCTCCTAGTTTGGCAATCATATCACTCACTCACTAAGAATTTGATGTAAACATCTGGCCTGGATCTTGTCTAAAACTGCTTGTAGTTGTTTACATAAGTTTTCCTTTTGTTGTATAGGGACTGCGTTGTTTGGATTATTGTGCGTAGCATTGCATAACTATAAACTTCCTTCTTTTTGAGTTGAATGTTGTTGTCATGACCCTGAAGAAGAATGGTTCCCACTGTATGACAGCTGTTAACATTATGATAGCTTCACCCTCACTGTGCTCATATTTGTCATCTGGGTCACTGGAGTAGATTATTGACTGTGCAGTCAATGTACTGGACTGTCAAATCCCAGTCAATCTGCTGTCACTCATTCTGTCCACTTCCATGACATGTCTCTTCACTTCTTGTGCAGTCTGAGCATCCCTGTCAGTCTCAAACAACGCGTAGACGTCCCATGTCCCCATGCTTAATTCTGCTCTTTTCGAAAGCAGACTTCTGTGCCGACTGGCCTCTCCTGAAGCTTTTACCAATTGGCACCATTCATTCCCGGAATGAGATTCCATTGAAGAATAAGTTTATTTTTTTTAACGTGCTTTGTATTTTTAGCAGCACTGGTATTATTTTTGTTAATCCTACTTCCAACCTTCTGTCTTTTCCTGCTCTGAATGCGTTGGTAAACTAGGTGAAATTATAAACGTTAAATTCATTATTTATTCAAGTTTAAAAGATACACATATCATTTAAAAATTCTTTTTTCCTGTTCCCTTGTCAGCTATTAATAATTAATTCATCATGAGCTCATGATGAAATCCTCCATCCAATGCATATAACTGTAGATTTAAGAATCTGACCGAGTAGAAAGTACATTTTCTAAGGAAATGTCAGTTTAAAATGGCACCCATTACATACAATGAAACATAATGCCAATAACTAAGACTTTCTTAGATAATAAATACAGGAGTAGTTATTAATTAACAATAATTAAGAAATAATTACAAGACTTCCCATACTGAATCACGATAAAAAAGACGTAACAGCGAACAGAATTTTCTCATAGAGGAATTAAGTCTTTAATCGGATTTCGGAAGATTGTCTAGCTTGGCTAATCAATTAACTATATTCTTGAGCATGTTGTCGACCCCGGACAGCGCACTTCTTCACACAGTTGATCAACAATGGTCTGAAAAGTTACTTAATATCACCAGAGAAGACTTTGAATATACAATTTAG